GTGGTAGTGGTAGTAGTGGTAGCAGGGGTAGTAGGGATAGTAGGGGTAGTAGGGGTAGTAGTAGTGGTAGTAGTGGTAGTAGTAGTAGCAGCAGTAGTAGTAGTAGTAGTAGTAGTAGCAGTAGTAGTAGTAGTACCAACAGTAATACTACTGTTGCTGGTGGTACTGGTCGTAGTAGTAGCAGTAGTAGTCGTTGCAGTAGTATTTTTTCTAGTTCTTTGCAGTCCGAGGGCGGTGTCTGCACATCTTCCCGCGAGATCGTTAGGCGCTCGTGCTGCCCTTGCTGCCGTCGCTGGGTGTCTTGCTTGTTTTGGCGTAGGATCCAACGTTCGATTTTTAAATTTCTGCTCAAATCAGCGTCAGATTTCTTTAGTTCCTTGCAATTCGACGGCAGTTCTCACACGTCCTTTCGCAGCATCGCGCAATCAGTTTGCCTAACCCTGCTGCCGTCTGAGGGCGAACCCGCGAGATCGTTAGATGATGGTGTTGCCCCTGCTGCCGTCGCTGGGTATCTTGCTTGTTTTGGTGTAGGATCCAACGTTCGATTTTTAAATTGCTGCTCAAATCAGCGTCAGATTTTTTTAGTTCCTTGCAGTTCCAGGGCAGTTTTTACACGTCCTTTCGCAGCATCGCAGATTGATTTTGGCTAACCCTGCTGCCGTTGTTAGGTGTCTTCCTTGGTTTCGCTCAGGAAACGACGTCAGGTTCTTTGTCTTCCTGCTCGGATGGGCGTCAGATTTTTTTAGTTCCTTGCAGTCCCAGGGGTTCTTGCATTCCGTTAATTCAGTCGCCAAGCGTGCTGGATATGCTGGAGTGAATTCTTGGTGGGCTTTTGATTCAGAAAAAAAACTGGTCAACTTACGTGTGTGCCATGTTCTGAATGGTTTGAACATGGAGTCTTTTCAGATCAAAAAAGCACTGAGTTGCACAAGAGCACTGCAGTTGACGTGGTCTCTTCTTGCTGTAATTGTTGCACCAAGAGAAAGCTTGCGTCCTTTTGGTGCTTGTGCCAAGCATTTGGCATTTTGAGTGATTTGGCAGATTTTTCTCTTTTTCAGATTCACATTGCCTCAAATTGATCTTTTCCAAATTTTGTTGCTGTCTGTTGCCGCGGCATAGTTTAACGTCCAAAAACTGAGCGTCCTACATTCCGGTTTTCACAATGTAAAGTTGAGAATCTTTGATAAGTGCGGAGCAATGTCTTACTTGCCCTGCCGCAGCTTTCTTCACGATTGTATTCCCCGCTAACTTCTTAACGATTGCCAATAAGACTGCCAGGATTATGACGTCTTTCATTACCATCTAGCCTCCTGGCTCCCATTGGGTTTTTGCTTGACATTGGACTCCATGCCGACTGATTACGAGCATCTGCACGTCTGCGCCAGACCGTCATTCAGGTTGACAAATTTAATTCCACCACAACGATCTGACCAGTGGAGGATGAGCTCCCTAGTTTCTTCCTCGATTTGGACGCAAGTTCCCACACTTATTCTGGAGGTTCCACTTTGGTCGATATGTCATTCCACGCTTTATCGCCGCACCGATGCGGAAGATGCGCCGCTTCCTTTGGTGAACCCACCTGACCATGCTTCCTATGTGTATACGTGTTCAGCCCGTGTCTCCCAATCGCTGCAGCCGGAAACGTCATCCCAAGTACAGACTGTGAGGACTGCAGGTGCGCCCGCCTGCACTTTCAGAGAGGCGCATTTCTGGATCATTAGCAATGTGATTTGTTTTATGCTTTCCCACGCTGGATGACGATAAGTCCAAGTTATCATACAGCCCTTTGATTTATTCCGCAATGCTGTCTAGGGGAGCCGACATGAGGCGAACCGGGGACCTCCTTCCCATGCTTCATGCCAATATCGATTGACTATCAAGTTCTCCGTCTTTTATCGGCGAGTGGTCACGAATGCCCATTGTGCATCGGGCGAGCTTCATCAGTGAATATAGAAGCCTCCTTTCATACTAAGTCTTTCCACACGATGGCCGGAAAATTAACCCTAGTCCTGCCATCGTGTCATCGGAAAAGGGTATCGAAGAGCCCTGTATAGATATGCTCATCGTGTATGTGCCTTCCTTGGACTGTTTTCCTATGCCGTATCCGCCGACTTTTATGTTTTCCCCGCATGTTAGCCCCATTTAAAGGGTTGCTGACGGCTAGTCTCAATCGTGGACTCGCTTTGCACGACTGAGAAAAGGAGACTCGTTTCTTCGCTGTCTCCGCTGTTTGCGTAGGCCGCGACGTGAGCTTCATGCTATTTTTATAAGGCGTGTGTAGTTCTGTGAGGGTAGTCGTCCCCAAGCAGCGCACGCTGCAAATACCTGTTTGTTGTTCTCTGCGAAATCATGTTCCAAAAGTTTAGGTTTTCCAACTTGAAAAACAAATTGTCTTACCGACATTGAAACACCCGGTTTCAAATCTCTCTCAAGACTCATTGAAATGCCCTTTGAAAATGGCATTTTTCTTCAAACTCCCCTTTAAGCCTGCGTTCAAACCGTGACCGCCTTTGGCCCTTCGGAACCCTCTTCCCTGAAACCCTTCGTCGAACTCCCAAAAGATCTCCCTACGATTTCGTTCAAAGTAAGCCCCCTTCGATCCTGTTTTCTCTCGCGAAAAATCCCTTCCCCTTCCCCCTCAGGCCTCCTTCCTTCAACAAGACGCTTGCATTCAGCAACAAACGATGGGGTATTTATTTCGACGTCGTGGCGTTTTCTGTAAGCATGGGTTTCAACACGGGCATGTACACGGAAAAAACAAAATTTCGTAACATGTCACACTCCAAAAAGGCAGCATGAAAAACGGGAACACAGAGTACGATCAAAAACGAAGCGGCGAACGATTGCTTGCAGAATGTTGTTATGCAAATCCCAGACGTGTTTGTTGGGTCGAACCCGTTTCACCATGTTTCCACGGCCACCGAGGCTCCATGACGTACTGGAAAAAGCAACTCCGCGCTCATAGTGGTTTGTGGCAGCTTCAGACATGCGATCCGAGCAGGGCAGGGGTCCACCTGCATGGCTGTTTATGGTTTCGGGTAAGGGGTTACGATATCTTGGGCTTGGTCCAAAAGTTTCGACCTTGGGCATGAGTTGTCTATGATGTACGTTGTCAAGCATCTGTGCATATCGAAACAAGTCAGCTTGGACTACAACAGCATCGCAGTGCATGGGTAGCAGATTCAAAGTGACTTCTGTCAAGCCGTCTGTTTTCACACAATGTTGTGTCGTTGATATCAGCCGTGCTGTCGGCTGTCCCGAATGAGAGTGTTGCACATTAATGGTCGAGCCGACCTGACCGGCTTTGTGCTTGTGCCATGTCCGCACTGGTGAAGCCAGCAGCTTTCCCTGGGTTGTGGCATGGGCAATTGCCCAGATGCACAGCAAGTCATAGCATTGAGGGTGTCGTGTGCCCACTGCAGAAAGAGATTCACTGGATTAGTCCCCCCAAGTTGCATGGCTGGGTTGGAGCAGTGGCTGCCGTCGTTTTGTGCACGAGGCAGCGGTGTCGATTGCAGGCAAGTGCTGCCCTTGGTGAGAAGGAAATACAGGTCGTTACACCAAAGCCAAGTTCTCCAACGGAAGATAGAACCGAACCCAAGCCGCATTTCGACTGGGACAAGCAATGGTATCCGATTTTTCCGACATCCATGCTGAAAACGAGTGGCCCGGAGCCTTTCAAGCTGCTGGGCCGTGATTTGGTGCTTTGGAAAGATGGCGATGGAGAGTGGCACTGTGCAGATGGGATTTGTCCACACAGACTGGCCCCCTTGGCGCATGGGCGCGTCACGCCAGACGGTCAACTTATGTGCCGATATCATGGATGGACTTTTAATGGTGATGGTTCTTGCGTGAAAGTTCCAATGGCTGCTGGGGATGCCAGAGCAGAATCAAAACTGATTGGTGCATCTTGTAGCAAACTCAAGTCCTATCCGACTAAGGTTGTCAAAGGCTTGCTGTTTGTCTGGCCACACAGTGGAAGTGAAGATGAAGCTGGCAGAAAGAATCCTTTCGTTGCTGAAGAGCTGGATGACAGCCCTAACTGGAGTGTGTTCGACGCACCTGCAAGTTGGAGGGTTTGGCTAGAACAAAGCTGGGATCCTAGTCATGCGCCGTTCTTGCATCAATATGCTCTTCCGAATTTCGCCCCTGAACTTGCCGTTGCGATGGAGCCCTTCGATGTTGAGGACCTTGGGGACGATGGGCTTAGTGCCAGCCATGGAGGCTACATGCAAAGCAACCAAGGAATGAAGGCCTTTAGACGCTTTGGTCCGCCATGTGCGAATTCCACCAACTATGTGTACCCCGATGGCAGAACTATAGGGTTCAACTTCTATTTTGTGCCTACAGAACCGGGCAAAGTGAGGCAAATTACAACCTCTTACTTCGTGCCAGCTCCTACTGACGCAGGAGAAGACAGTGGGCTGCAGGGAAACATGATGCAGATGTCAAAAGTTGTGTTGAGGGGTCGCACTGTTGGTAACATAGAAGAGAAGCGCGAAGGCATCGTCACGCGCATGAGCAAGTCCATACGAAGGAGATGGCCACAGTTGGACCGGATTGAACAAGGTCTAAGAAGTTGGAAGCTGATGCAAGGCCTCATTGGTGATCAGGACAACACTGTCCTCTCGTTCCAAGATTCCGTGGGATTGCCAGCAGTTCGCAACAAATACTTCCGTGAACCCCGGACTTCCGAGAAGTTCGGTGGGCCTCCGAGTGAATATCTCCTGGAAACAAGTGCAGATGAGTTGGTCGCGCGTTTCGATGCATGGGTGGCTGCACGTGGAGGGGGCCCATTTGGAGAGCATGGGCTCGAGAGCCATTTTCCTGGTGTCTTTGATCGTTGGGAAGCGCACACCCGCTTCAGCAAAGACGCACAAGCGGCCTTGGCGTTCCTCTCTGGTGCTGCAGACTGCCTGGAAAGTCGGGTGGTGCCTGCATGTCTTCTGGTGGCCGGGCTTTGCATGGCATGTGGACTTACACGCATCTCAGGGCTTCCTACCTTAGCCGCAGCTGCTGGTATCTTTGCCAAGACTCGCTTGCGAAAACATGCGCAAGGCAGGCCTCTGTGCATGAGCTCTTGGGATTCGGTTCACATCCTTCGCCGCTACAGTACTCGCGGCCGAATAACTCGCAGGTGCATGGGTCCGATAGCGGCATAGGCATGCAGCTAACTTCCCCCTGCAGGCTTCCTCTCAGGACTTCCGGCTGCTCCCGGACTTCCCCTGCGCAAGCTCTGGGAGTGAGACGTACTGTCCTGCTCGGTTCAACACGAGCCGCTGTGCCCTTAAACCCACTGCAGAAAGCACGGTGCAAAAAAGACCTGGCAAGCTAACATCTGTAGAGGTGAGCTCCCCAGTTTCGCTCAGGACCCCAACGGCAGGAACTCAGGCTTTGGGCTGCTGCTTGCAGAGTCTAGCGAGTCTAGCGCAATGACGAATTCTAACGTGGCAGCAGCTTCCAGTATTTGTTCCGGATGAGCAAACGTGAGGACTCTTGCCTTTCGGGCAGCAGACGGGGGTTTTGCCCTTTCCACTGCTTCCGCCATGCAGACCTTATTGATTGCCTGGGATCGCCGCAGCTTGTAGATCCCGCACGGTCTCAGGATGTGTTCCAAGAATCTGACGGGTGACTATCTAAGTTGCAGTAGTTGGTCGCAGCACCTGCCTTGATGTAGAGCTGCAGCACAGCGTTCAGCCACTGGCATCAGCCGCACTGGGTGGTGTCTCACTTGTACACGTAAGCATGGTGTGGTTGCATTGCAGGTCTCTTGACTTTTCTTCAGCAGAACGTTCACTGTTCGTGGATCTAGTGTCTTCGACGGCACCAGCTACACAAGCAGGGACTCGAGCCACACAAAGGAAGTTGTGGGGACAAGAGGGACCGAAGTCTATCCCTCTTTTGTTCAGGCCCATTCTCGGGGCTCTAAACCACTTTGTCTGAAGTGCTCTGCAATCTGCAGTTGATTAGCTGGATTCGCCATGACGGCCTCGGTGTCGGAACCTGAGAGCATCGCCTCTCTGGAGAGGCCGGGAGCGGGCCCAGGGCTTTGTGTGTGCGGCTCATCTCTGCTGAATTCCTGGACCAGGACGTGGAATGCCGACAAGTCGGAGCTCGAGCGTTCACAGAGGGTGCTGCAGCAACTTCGAGCCATATTGCTGCCGCTGCAGCAGAGGTAGCCCCTCCTGCCATGAAAGACCATAGCTTATTTCTGCGAGACCAGGAACAGTCGCGGCATGAGACCGGCGCTTGAATCTTGCACTATCTTGCGCTGCTTTTCGCTGTCTGCTTATGGCTTGACGTTTAGTCTCAGCACCATGAAGCATGTTGGTGAAGGTTGCGTTATATCGCGCTGATGCATGACGTCGAGGATTGATGACATTTTGGCACATTTCATCGTTTTGTTGGCCGGTAGCTCTTAGCCAAAACGGCTCCAGACCTTTGCCAATTCAGACAGTGTGACTGCATGCGTTGCAGCTGACATGCCATGCCATCCGGAGCCCCTGCGGGAGACTCGCCAAGCACATCAGGCAAGTCTTTCTCGTGCAGTGAGAGCGAGGTCTCAGAGAGACTTCAAGCACACATCACGTGTTCGGCATGTGATTCTTTGCCGTTGCAGGTGCTCACTGGGTTTGTTCATCGACGCCCCTTCTCTCGCGCCCCAGTACTTGTTTGCTGGCCGGGCTGAGAGAGAGAGAGAGAGACCCTCACCCTTCCCGCCAACGAACTGCGAGTGTGCGAACTCGCACGGCGGAAGCAGTTGGGCCGCTGCTTCTGCCTCGCCAGTAGAGAGAGAGAGAGAGAGAGAGAGAGAGAGAGACCCTCACGCCTGGTAAAGGAAAGAGAGAAGGAGGGAGGGAGAGCAAGTGAGGAGGCGGAGTTTCAGTTCTCAAGTTGCAGAGCTGATGGTTGCCAACAGGCTGAGATTCACGGCAACTTGGAGAGGCGGCTTCACACTCTGAAGGTGCCGGGCTTCTCAAGCAGAGCTCCGAACTTTGGAGAGAGAGAGAGAGAGAGACAGAGGTGCTCTTGGCAGTGAGCTGTGGTCCTTGACTTTAAGCTGTGTTACTTTCAAACGAACTGCATCTGCATTATCCATCTGTTCCGGAGTCAGCGTGGGGATTCCCTATACATCTGCTTGCCCTAGCAGGTCGTCGGACAGTTCTAACACTAGGGCACAGAATCGCTTCTAGCGGCTAGGTGAGATGCTCTACACGAGAAGCACCCGCTAGCATCCATTACCCAGCAAATCTCGCAGGCATACAGTATCTGTGGACGCTTTTGTCGCCTTCGCTTTGGGAGTACTTCGCATCCTTGCTCAGACGATCTGGGTGTGAAGGAACGTCTTGCATGGTTTCGCTGAGTTGGCCCAAGCAGGGTTACCTTCATGAGCAGCAAGTAGGCGAAGACGACATTTCTCATTGTGGCCTAGCTTAGACAGGGTATTGATTTTGCACTCAGTTTTAACAGGGTCTGCGACAGTCCTTCGCAGGGCCATGCCACATGGCTCCATCTCCGAGAGTGAGGGGAAGTTTTCCAAGAGAGGTCACACATTCCCGCGATCTTTCTTCGGACTCGGAATTGTGACGGCGCTTGTTTGTGCCATCTGTGTACATGTGCAAGGTGCACCCGCCAATAAACAGTCCTGCTCCTTCTCCTGGGTATGCCTCGAAAGGATGTTGGACCTTCCGATAACATCGGACCACCTCCGCAATGCCCAGCATGAGGAAGTCGGCAAGTTGGACGGGTCAGGCCCCAGGTCTCGCATGATTTTGGTCGGTGGAACTGCCCTCATCTCCTTTGCCCTGGTGAAGCGAAGCCGGGCTGTCAAGAGAGCTATGCGAGTTGCTAGGCACAAGGTTGCACACTACACCCCTCGATGCATTGGACGCATACTTGGTTCTACTCCGAGTTTCTTAAACTGGAGGCCGCCGCGTCAGCCTGCCTTTGGCGTGCACCTTGGAGCTTCGCCTAGTGAAAGCGGGCTTACTCCGAATCACACACCTTCGAGTTCTCCATCATCTCGCCGCGTTCCTTTTGTCAGGACAGTCTCGATGCCGTCAGCACGTGTAAGTACGGCTCTTGTCCTACCAGTTGAAAATCGGCGAGCGAAGACCTGCACGGCGTCTGCCCTGTCTCGTGTTGCAGCGAAGCTGCGAGATGCTGAATTAGAGGCATCTCCACCCGATGAGGGCGACAATAGCCCTGCTGCCGAGCCGAATAATTCCACACAGCACGCTGCATCTCAATCTCCTGGGACTGAGCTCCTTCTAGAGCTTGAGGAGGTTTTTGATGCATGCGCTCCACCCAAAGGGTGTCTGTGTGAAGGGTCTTTCCAAAGAGTGGTGGCTCTCTTGAACGAACGGTTCGGTGTGGGAATTCAATGTCATGACGCAGAGCGACTTCGGATTCAATGCGAGAACGGACGAGGCGAAGTTGACCGCGAGGCCTTTCTCAGAGAGGTGGGCACCCTCTTGAAAGCACTCAGGTCTTCTCAGGGCCTCTCACTCACGCAGCTTCGGATCATTATGGCGACGGCGTTTGAACGCTTCGACACAGATGCAGATGGCAACATCAGTGAGACCGAGTTTGCAGCCGCCTTATCCAGTTGCGACATCCATTTGAGTGGGCGTGAAATAGCAGTGCTTTTGAAGCTCCTGTCGCCGGGCTCCACGGACACGGTCTCTGTGATGAGGGAGGACCTTACATCGGCCAAGTCTCCGTCGAGCTTGGAGGACCTACCGACCTACCTTGTGTTTTCTTTTCAGCGCTTTTGTTTTCGTGGCGTTGTCATGGCTCGACATAATTGGGTGTAATCCACTTGGCCTCATTAAAGAATGCACGGTCTTCCCTGTATCGGGCGAAGGAGCAAGTTCAGGCAGCTTTCGAAGGCGCACGCGAGAATCTGGCCGAAGCTACGGGATGGAACAGTGCACTGAAGATGGCAGAGCGGTTCCTTGACGTCTTCAACGAGCCAGGCACCCCGAAGAGCCAGCTTTACCGCGCGATTGCTGCTTTTGTCGGGAAGGATGTGACAAGTGAGATGTTGGCTGACACAAGCGAGCTTCTCATCACCTTGGCAAGTGTGGTGCTTGTGTTGCATGCCCATAGCCCTGAAGGGCAGATTCCGGCTGAATGCGTGGGTCAGTTCGGAGTCCTTGCAGATGACATGACTGGTGCATTCAACGATCTTTTCGACTCCGGCCCAATGGGACCGGTCCTGTTGTCAGGGCTCCTGGGAGCCTTCAAATCCTTGCGGACTCATGAGCAAGTGTCCCTGAGTGAGAGAGAGGCTTTGCTATTTGCTCGTGGCTTTCACGACAGAGGCTGTTCTACAACTCTCTTTCAAAAGTTGCTGGCCTGTGGGCATTGCCAATGGACATCTGCTGCAGCGGGAGACATGTTGCAGGGATCGACAACAGGGCAAGTTCAAGTTCTCGTGCGCGGGGAAGTAGAAATGCAGAGTTCAGAGAAATGTCTGACTATCCAACCCGGCGAGGTCATGAAGAGGTGCGGTGATGGCGAAAAGTTGACGGCATCTACCAGTGCATTGTACGTCACCCTTGATGTTGAACAGCTGGTCCAGTGCATTCAGAACTCCTCCGACAGTCTCCTTGTCGCACTGGCCACGGAGCTTTTGGATGATGCCGGGATCGAAGAAGGCGAAGTGGAAAGCCGTTTCGAAGTGGCACAAGACACCGGGGCAAGGTCTCAAAGCCCGGAAAGCCCGGAAAGCCCGCAAGGATGGCTTTCGCCTCTCAAGGCGGCCCTGCAGGTGCAAGCCAAGCGAAAGGGCTTCTCAGTATGCACAGAAATCACCGATGGCTTACAGCACATCATATCACAAACGGATATTTCCTTGCCGGAGAAATTAGAGAGGTGTCGCACACTGTTCCTCGACAATGCAGATGTTTTCGTTGAAAGCTTCGAGGCGCTGGTGGATATAACTGGAGCCTGTTCGGCACTTCTTGCTCTGTGGAACCAGTCTTCCACTCCGACACCGGAGAACATTCTCCAGCTGGCTCCAATAATTATTCTCCTCAGTCTAGTCCTTGTGCACGCTGCACGTCGTGGTGCATCTACCGTTTTCAGCTCCCTGGGTGTGGCGAGTCCATAGCTTCACGGATTTCCAATTGCGTTTCGCCAGCTTGAAACTGGCGTCTCGCTCCGCTCGGTTGAAGGCCACGGGGTTTTCAACGAGACTCGGCTTCGCGCATCCTCCTTTTCCAACTTTGCGCGAGCAAATATCAAGATATAATCGAAATTCTGTGTGTTCATTTATATCATATTATATGTGATTTTACATACACAATGGTTTTATGTTTATGTGTATATATATATATACATACAAACTATAACCCTAGCCAGTAGGCAGAAGTGCACTTATTGAATCCTCGGCCACTCCTGCATTGTGCTTTTGGCACAGGTGCTTTTCACGCCTCCGAAAGCGTAGGTGAGATCTCTATGCTGAATTCGTCTGCCCGCGGCAAGCCCGGCTTTCCGGCTTGTGGATGTGAAGCCACAGATTGTGCCGCCTGGGCAGCTGCTAAACAAGCAGAATGCTGCATGTCGGCTTGGCTTTCCCTCTCCAGTTCCAGCCAGGCCTTGTCACAGAGTTTGGGACAGAAAAAGTCATGCTGCATCATGTCATGGCGAGGATGGATCAGCTGATAGATGAACAAACAAGGAGCTGACTTGCTCGCTTCTGCTGCGGTGGGCACAGAATCTGGCCCGCCAGACTACACCTCCGGAGCTCTGTGTGCCAGTGGCAGAGTAGCTCCTTCTAGCCCACTGGTCGTAGATTCGTCGTAGAATGACGATCGTTGTGGCAGGGTTCTGGTCAACTTCGCAAAGCGAAGCACCGAGATTTGCAGAGGCCAGGAGCATGATAGACAAGAGACTTTGGAGTAGACGGGCAGATCTCTGGAACTTCTGAAACCTCCTCGCTCCAGCCTTTTCCGACATGCGCGACGCCAAGCTGCGAGCCGGTGTCTCAGAATCTCGAAAGTCGTGTTGATCTCTGAAATCGCCTGGAACAGCGGGTCTGAACGCAAGCCTCAGCAGAGCCAGGCCGCGAAAGCTTCCGAACAGTGCCCTTGCAAGCCTCCCACAGGCCAGCATCTGCGGTTGAAGTACAGGCTACCTGAAAGAAAGATGTGTTTCAGATTCATGTTCGATCACTTCTTCTTGCTTTTTGCGCGCTCTGTCCACAGGCCGCGTGATACTGTCCTACCAAGCAGCCGTCTCAGACACGCAGCTTGCAAGCGGTCCTGTGAGTGGAGCCCGTCCAGCGTTGTGGGCTTTTACTTGACTTAGACATGAGTGGTCCGGCCGACCGTTGCGGACCGACGCGGGTTCATTGAGGTGACTGCAGCCATGTGGCTCATTCTCACTTCCATTAAGCAACCTTTCCAAAGGAAAGAGCTGTGTCAAGGTTCTGCATTTACCAGTCGGAGGCAACTTGGCCTCTGTGGTGCAGGAACGTCACGCTTTGCAAGAAGCTGCCGGGGCCTCTGCGGGTGTCGATTGGGTGATGTGAGATCTCGGCCAGTGGTTTCTTTTCAGGAGCTCATGACGTCCGCAACATTGGGTGCTTCGGCTGCTTCAGCCACCATGGAGCCCACGGCAACTCTCCGATCCTCTATGACCCATCCGTACCTGACCAGTAAGTTCCAGGCACTGTTGCCAGAATCAACGTCTCGCTTTTCATATTCTGGTCTCTCCCGCCTCAACTCGAGATGCAGTTGTGAATCTTCTGCAAGCGCGTGACGTGCCGTGACAGGTGGGGTCTGCCAAGAGTGACAAGATCAATTACACCTTGGCACAGAAAGTTTTCCACAGTGGAGACGTGCCGCACGAGGTTGGGGTCAATAACCTCGGCTTATGCCTGCGTTGTTTCTTCATGCATTGTGGTTGCCGAGTTCCAGTATGCAACAACTTTTGAACACGCAATGCTAAAATAATAGAAATTCGTAATAACGGCAGCCATGGTGGCAGTGGTGGTAGTAGCAGTAGCACTAGCAGTAGCAGTAGCAGTAGCAGTGGCAGTAGCAGCAGCAGCAGCAGGAGGAGGAGTAGTAGTAGTAGTAGCAGCAGCAGTAGTAGTAGTAATCGTCGTCGTCGTCGTTGTCGTCGTCGGCGGAGGAGGAGGAAGAGGGGGGGAGGAGGAGGGGTTAATCCTCAAACTTCTGCGCCATGAAGGCCGAGAGTCGTAGGAACTGCAGTGGCATCATGAGAGGAGGATGAGGAGGAGAGTAGGACCTGAGTAGGACGAGGAGTAGGAGTAGGAGCAGGAGCAGGAGCAGGAGCAGGAGCAGGAGCAGGAGCACGAGGAGCAGGAGCAGGAGCAGGAG